TCTCTAATATATATAATGTGTTTGTGAGAGTCAAAGGTACTTGTTGATGGCATTAAAACTATACATTTAAATTATTTATAAAATTCTTAAACAAATGTGGTAACACTTTCCTCTTTCATTTCACTTCTAATAGTTCCAGCTTCATCCGTTTGGAAGGTGGAACATCAAAGTGTTTTTACATCTTTAATTAGGTCTGGACTTTAACTAGGCCACACTGACACACCGGATGGTTTCCCACCAAAGACGTTGGTTTAAATATTAGCTTTGTTTTCACCTTTCACTTTCTACAGATGCTTACATTGTTCCAGATCTTCATCCAGCTTTAAACCCTCTGAAATTACGTCTGAAATCTACTTTAAAGTCTCATTCATGCCCAGATTTTTCAAGTCTGAATATTTTTTCTAATAAAGTTAGAATTTGAATTTGCTGTATTTTTGTTTTTCCTTGTTTAATATGAAATTTGATGCAGGAATTAGGCAAATATTGCTGGAAATTCAGCGCTCCATAAATCTGTTCCTGAACCCGGCATATTGTAGAAGCTTGTTAAGGAAGCTTGCATTGTGTTTATTATTCACGTAGGTCCTGAATTTTAATTGATTTAAAAGGGCCTTGGTTTATAGAAAGGTTTTTGACTGTGAGCTTGTTTGTGGCTGGTCTTCATCTCTTTATGCTGGGAGATTAGCTGTCACATGCTCAGCTTACCACAAATTGTGGATTTCCTGTTTCTACCACTGTATAATGAAGTTAAATATCTACGATCTGAAAACACGCAGAGGAGCTGCGATGCTGCATGAGAGCAGAAGCAAGCTAAGCTGTCAATGAAGGCCTTTTTTACTGGTTTGGATTTTTCTTTTCTTTTCCAAAGGCAAGCTGAAGATTTGTCCAGAGAAGCCAAGCCAAGCGCCGAGGTGAGTAGCAACCCCTCCGTCGCCGTGGGAACACAGAGCAGCCATATTGCTGGAAAGACGACCTGCCAGGCTGTTACCTCACCCAATCCAGCCACCTCCAGCAACTCGGTTCTGTCAAACTTCCTGTATGGGATGCCCATGTCCTCCAAGCCCCACCCTGACAGCAAGCTAGACTTCAAACCTGCAACCCTCCTCAGTCTGGGCAAGGACAGGCTGGCCAGCTGGACGGACAGGGGTTCCTCTGGGAAGGACGGAGCCAGCACGGGTTAGTTTCTGCTTTAAACTGAGCAGTATGGAGGGTGGTTATGAACTGATGGCTAGGTCAGTGTATCTGTTTTAAAACATTTTTCTTTTTTAGTTGGGTTTTCTTGACTTTTAGCACAAAAATGTTTAAAATCTACGTTCAACAACCAATAAAACTGCTTTAACTCCGTTAGAGAGTTTAACTTTTAGAGCTCTAATGAAGGTGATAAAGGATGGAATGCTGAAGATGTTCGTCTTCTACTTTCAGATGATCTAACAAGACTTCCTGCTGATCAGGGGCAGAGTCCCCCTGGCGTCCACATCTCTAAACGACTGCTCTTCTCTATCGTGCATGAAAAATCAGGTCGGTCTTAATAAATCAGCAATTGCTTTGCCTCACCAATCACTCATCACACGTTTCCAAATGGATTTCTGCTTTATGACATATATTTAATTTTAAGGTCTGTTTTTTTTTAGGAATGAGACTCACAATTACAGTTAGCATGTATGGCTAAGTTAAAACCAGAGATGGGAAGTAACTAAGTACAAATACTTTGTTACTGTACTCAAGTAGATTTTTCTGATATTTTTACTTTACTTTACTACTTATTTTTATAGCGACCTTTTACTTCTACTCCTTACATTTTTACACAAATATCTGTACTTTCTACTCCTTACATTTTAAAAAATTGTCTCGTTACTTTAGTTTTGAATCATTTCAATGGAGTTACCGTTATTATTTTTCACGTCATCAATACCAAATTCAATCTAATTGGATGGGAATCTACGTTGCATTTGACGCACCACTACAAGATGAATC